ATTTATTTATTCATTCATTCATTCATTCGTTCGTTCGTTCGTTCGTTTTTATTCGTTGGTCCGTTCGTTTGTTCACATTAAAGATGCAAATTTACACATTTCGAAAACAAAATTTATACTAACTCCTTCTCATATCAACATGCCTTCCTAGGTATTAAACATCAATATCCCAATGTCTTAATATGTGTAACTAGTGATGGTCTAAACAATGGAGACAAGTTGCCAACTGCAGCTTCGCACATAGTGATACTTTATCACTATGATTAACTGATGTAAGTTCCGTTTTTACTCCAAGGCTGAGGCCATTCCATAACCGTTGCATCTTCTTCAACCTTCCAAAGACAACAGTTTCATCAGTTATTTCTGATAGTTCATCAACACCCCGATGGGGCAGTTTTCATCCACCTCCGATCAACATCGGTGACGTTGATTGTTTTCCACCACCAACTTCACTCCCAGTTTTGTCAACAGCATCTTCATGGACGGCAACATATGTCGTCTTTTGTAATGTTCATCCAAGCTGTCATTGTTACAAGCCCTTGGATGTTTATTTTCCAGATCGTCTTTTGTCTAAATGTATTGGAAAGTTTCAAAGAAACATAGTAGTTTGGGCATATGCTGTCTTTTCATATATTTTTTGTGTGCCCTAATTGACAATTATGTGAATAGCACTGCTCAGAATTTAAGGTTACGAGGATTTATTGATTGTTTGAGGCCGGGTGCATTAATGTCGTGTGATAAGAAGTTGGGGTTTGGTGTCAAAATATTTTCCTAAACGGAGAATGGGAACCCGTTTATTTATATAAATTTTACATCAAATATGAATTTTTTAGATTCTGGTATTCTCCATGACAATGCTGGAATTTGGCTAAAACCGACGTCAAATCATACTCACACACTCAATCATGTTAATTATTACTCACAGTGGAAGACACTGCAGTGTAATATTTTAGGGCAATATTACACTAGTGTAATACCGCTAGACGTATGCTGTCATAGTGGTTTACAGTTATGACGTCAGAATGCTCATACTTCTGTCACAATGTTATTATACCTTGTTTGACTCGCGGAAAGCTGACAGTCATCACACTGTAGGCAGTTTCTATCAATTTATGTTGGAGAGTAATAAACATAACACTAAACTCGCTTCCGTGAAATACCATTTTTATCAAACTCATGAAAGGAAAATGGTATTGCACGGAAGGTCGTTTGGTATCCTTTATTCCTTCTTTTGTTCGCCATTTTTTCGTCAGTCTAAAATATAGGGTCCACAGTAACGTTTACTGAAGTATGCGAAATAGGGACGAGAAATGGTTTTGAACTTTCTGTTTACGTCAAGCAATATTCCAGCAGTTCCATGTATTTATGATTCTATTTCACACCGTTTGAGGTACCAGCAAAAGCCAACCTTTTCCACGAAGAATGTGCAGAGTGTCATCAAACGCCTCTTGCTGTCAGCAAACAGCAAAAATGTTAAACACGTTTAGCACATTTCTACACATGCTGTAATTGTGGTGACAGCAACAAACATGATGACATGTCCTGTCGGATCCATCAGTTACAAACATGGTGACGTGTCCTGTCGGATACATCAGTTACAAACATGGTGACATGTCCTGTCGGATCCATCAGTTACAAACATGGTGACGTGTCCTGTCGGATCCATCAGTTACAAACATGGTGACGTGTCCTGTCGGATCCATCAGTTACAAACATAGTGACATATCCTGTCGGATCCATCAGTTACAAGCATGGTGACGTGTCCTGTCGGATCCATCAGTTACAAACATGGTGATGTGTCCAATAGTATCCATTAGTAACAAACATGATGCCGTGTCCTGTCGGATCCATCAGTTACAAACATGGTGATGTGTCCAATAGGATCCATTAGTAACAGACATGATGCCGTGTCCTGTCGGATCCATTAGTGACAAACATGATGCCGTGTCCTGTCGAATCCATCAGCTACAAACATGGTGACGTGTCCTGTCGGATCCATCAGTTACAAGCATGGTGACGTATCCTGTCGGATCCATCAGTTAAAACATGATGCCGTGTCCTCTCAGTTCCATCAGATACAAACATGGTGACGTGTACTGTCAGATCCATTAGTTACAACATGATGACGTGTCCTGTCGTTGGCATCAGTTACAAACATGGTGACGTGTCCTGTCGTTGGCATCAGTTACAAACATGGTGACATGTCCAATAGAATCCGTCAGTTACAAACATGATGACGTATCCTGTGGGTTCCATCAGTTACAAACATGATGACGTGTCCTCTCAGTTCCATCAGATACAAACATGATGACGTGTACTGTCAGATCCATTAGTTACAACATGATGACGTGTCCTGTCGGATCCATCAGTTACAAGCATGGTGACGTATCCTGTCGGATCCATCAGTTAAAACATGATGACGTGTCCTGTCGTTGGCATCAGTTACAAACATGGTGACGTGTCCTGTCGGATCCATCAGTTACAAACATGGTGACATGTCCAATAGAATCCATCAGTTACAAACATGATGACGTATCCTGTGGGTTCCATCAGTTACAAATATGATGACGTGTCCTCTCAGTTCCATCAAATACAAACATGATGACGTGTACTGTCTTATCCATTACTTACAACATGATGACGTGTCCTGTCGGATCCATCAGTTACAAGCATGGTGACGTATCCTGTCGGATCCATCAGTTAAAACATGATGACGTGTCCTGTCGTTGGCATCAGTTACAAACATGGTGACGTGTCCTGTCGGATCCATCATTTACAAACATGGTGACATGTCCTGTCGGATCCATCAGTTACAAACATGGTGACGTATCCAGTCGGATCCATCAGTTACAAACAAGGTGACGCGTCCTGTCCGATCCATCAGTAACAAACATGATGCCGTGTCCTGTCGGATCCATCAATTAAAATCTGTCCTGTCGGATGCATTAGTTAAGACATGATGACGTGTCCTGTCGTTGGTATCAGTTACAAACATGGTGACGCGTCCTGTCGGATCCATCAGTTACAAACATGGTGACGTGTCCAATAGGATCCATCAGTTACAAACATGATGACGTATCCTGTGGGTTCCATCAGTTACAAACATGATGACGTGTCCTCTCAGTTCTATCAGATACAAACATGATGACTTGTACTGTCTTATCCATTAGTTACAACATGATGACGTGTCCTGAGGGATCCATCAGTTACAAACATAGTGACGTGTCCTGAGGGATCCATCAGTTACAAACATAGTGACGTGTCCTGTCGGATCCATCAGTTACAAACATGGTGACGTGTCCTGTCGGATCCATCAGTAACAAACATGATGCCGTGTCCAATAGGATGTACCAGTTACATATATGGTGAAGTGTCCAATAGGATGCATCAGTTACAAACTTGGTGACATGTCCTGTCGGATCCATCAGTTACAAGCATGGTGACGCATCCTGTCGGATCCATCAGTTAAACATGATGACGTGTCCTGTCGTTGGCATCAGTAACAAACATGATGCCGTGTCCTGTCGGATCCATCAATTAAAATCATGGTGATGTGTCCTGTCGGATCCGTTAGTAACAAACATGATGCCGTGTCCTGTCGGGTCCATTAGTAACAAACATGATGCCGTGTCCTGTTAGATCCATCAGTTACAAATATGGTGACGTGTCCTGTCGGATCCATCAATTACAAACATGATGACGTGTCCTGTCGGATGCGTCAGTTAAGACATGATGACGTGTCCTGTCGTTGGCATCAGTTACAAACATGGTGACGCGTCCTGTCGGATCCATCAGTTACAAACATGGTGACGTGTCTAATAGGATCCATCAGTAACAAACATGATGACGTGTCCTGTCGGATCCTTCAGTTACAAGCATGGTGACGTATCCTGTCGTTGGCATCAGTTAAAACATAGTGACGTGTCCTGTCGGATCCATCAGTTACAAACATGGTGACATGTCCTGTCGGATCCATCAGTTACAAACATGGTGACGTGTCCTGTCGGATCCATCAGTTACAAACATGATGCCGTGTCCTATCGGATCCATCAGTTACAAACATGATGACGTGTCCTGTCGGATCCATCAGTTACAAGCATGGTGACGTATCCTGTCGTTGGCATCAGTTAAAACATAGTGACGTGTCCTGTCGGATCCATCAGTTACAAACATGGTGACATGTCCTGTCGGATCCATCAGTTACAAACATGGTGTCTTGTCCTGTCGGATCCATCAGTTACAAACATGATGCCGTGTCCTATCGGATCCATCAGTTACAAACATGATGACGTGTCAAATAGGATGTACCAGTTACATATATGATGAGCTGTCCAGTGGGATCCATCAGTTACAAACATGGTGACATGTCTTGTCGGATCCATCAGTAACAAACATGATGCCGTCTCCAATAGAATGCATCCGCTACAAACATGATGCCGTGTCCATTAGGCGGTATGAGTTACAAACATGATGACGTGTCCAATAGGCCGTATTAGTTACAAACATGATGACGTGTCCAATAGGCCGTATTAGTTACAAACATTGTGACGTGTCCAATAGAATGCATGTATGTGTGTATGTGTGTATGTGCGTATGTATGTATGTATGTATGTATTATGTATGTATGTATGTATGTATGTATGCATGTCTGTATGTGTTGGAGAGAGATATCGTGTGTGTGTGTGTGTGTGTGTGTGTGTGTGTGTGTGTGTGTGTGTGTGTGTGTGTGTGTGTGTGTGTGTGTGTGTGTGTGTGTGTGTGTGTGTGTGTGTGTGTGTGTGTGTGTGTGTGTGTGTGTGTGTGTGCCAGCGTCCATGCACAAGTGCCTGTCCCAATCTTCCAAAACGACAAAGTTTTCATTTTATGACAAACACTTCTTTATTTAGAGTAATTATTTTATTAGATTGGCCAAATGTCAAAACATGTTTCGATATTCACTTTTCACTTTGAATTATCTTAAACATCCCTTATCTTATCGTTAAAGATGTTGTTGCAGAGGTTCAAGCAGCCGCAGGGCCAGCAGTTGTTGCAGCATTGGTGGTGGTAGCAGGACATCTGGGAATGTCACATCTCTCCCATCTGGTCTTGCCACTAGCAACGTAACACCATGCAAAACCCTCAGGTTTCAAGTTACCTCCCGAAGGATCACGGCAGTAGTTGGAAGCACCTGCATAGCCAGGACCGGCGTCTCCGTTGGTGATGGAAAAGTAGCTGTCGATGTAGCCATGTTTGTTTGGAGACTGTGATGACCATTTCTGACAGGCGCGGTTGTTTATGGTGACGGACGTTGTACCACTGTAGACGGCATTACCACCGACCATTGTGTAACACTCATTTGCTGTAAATGATAGTTAGTTCTTAAAAAAGTGCATCAAAACAGTACAAAATAGTCACATTCGGTTACGTCTCCACCTCCTAAGAGCGTAGCTTCTGGTAATGAAACCAAAGTCAAATTCTACAATGCGCTGTGTTTCTGGGTTGGCGATTGTCAAATTATTCTTGACAAATAGCTATACGATTCATAGTTAGGTTTATAGTTACGGGCATATTATAACTGGATCTTTCACAAATTGTCAATTAAACACTGGTCGAGACGTCCTGTCTGAGAACCGTGAGGCAATAAGTGAACACAATTAAATTATGCAGACATCACTTTTTCTTACTGTTCATATTACAACTATCAGTGTTATGAATAAGTGAGTGAGTAAGTGAGTTTAGGTTTTACGCCGCACTCAGCAATATTCCAGCAATATGGCGGAGGTATGTAAATAATCGAATCTGGACCAGACTATCCAGGGACCCACAGCATGAACATCAATCTACGCAATTGGGATACGATGACATGTGTCAACCCAGTCAGCGGGCCTGACCACCCGATCCCGTTAGTTGGTTCTTACGACAAACAGTGTTATGAAGAATCAAATGTATGCAATCTAGTAAATACGTCAATGATTAATTTCAAAGTACCTGGGATGAAACTATGTCAACCGTTGATTTATGAAACATAAATTATGCTGGGCCTCATCTGCCTAACATTTGCCATTGCCACTGACTTTCAACAATACCATCTTTCACCAATTACAAGAAGTGTGTCTTCTTAATCACTCAGGTCACAGACTGCTGTCAAGTCAAACAATCACCTCGGCAGCCAAGGTACAGGTTTTAGAAAACCTGTCCCCATTACAGACTCACTTTGATAATTTTTTACCATACTTTCTCTCAAAATCATTTAAAACAGACACTTGAATTGTTTTCCAACAGGGGACATGATACCTGCTGAATACACTTGAAAACCAATGAGCTTGTGTGTCACATGACTCAAAAGGCAACTGCCCGAGTGCATCATAGAGTACATGATTGATCTAACATAACCTGTTTAAAAAATTGCCGATATGAATCCTACAATTCTTACATGCAAAGTTGTCTTTTACATCCAAAACGCTATTTTCTAATGTATGAAGGAGAAAAAACTGACTGGAAAATAGATTCATTCTATAGATCAACAGATTCATACGAGATGTCATAAGGGAACTTCGAAAATTTCAATATAGAAATGGAGGCAAACTGTTTTGATTGGCTTACCAGATGCAGCAGCCGTTGCAGCAACAGTGGTGGTTACGGCAGCCGTTCTTGGTGGAGCGGGGGACGTTGTTGCAGCATTGGTGGTGGTGGCAGGACATCTGGGAATGTCACATCTCTCCCATCTGGTCTTGCCACTAGCAACGTAACACCATGCAAAACCCTCAGGTTTCAAGTCACCTCCCGAAGGATCACGGCAGTAGTTGGAAGCACCTGCATAGCCAGGACTGGCGTCTCCGTTGGTGACGGAGAAGTAGCTGTCGATGTAGCCATGTTTGTTTGGGAGACTGTGATGACCACTTCTGACAGGCGTGGTTGTTTATGGTGACGGACGTTGTACCACTGTAGACGGCATTACCACCGACCATTGTGTAACAATCATTTGCTGTAAATTATAGTTATTTCTTAAAGAGTGCATCAAAACAGTACAAAATTGTCATATTCGGTGTCCACGTCCTAAGAGCATAGATTCTGGGAATGAAACAAAAATCAAATCATTCAAAACGCTGTGTTTTCTTGGTTTCTGACTTGTCAAATGCAATTCTCCAGAAATAGCTATACGGTTCATATATCACGAAAGAAGTGACTTGCTTCGGGCGACAGATATTTGTTCATAGTTGGGGTTTATAATTACGGGCATATTATAACAGGATCTTTTCACAAATAGTCAATGAAGCATTTGTGGAACAATCGGTTGCAGCTGAAATTCACTTAAACTTCAATTATCTATAAGTTGGTAGTAGATTTCAAACACATATTCTCATTTTTGTAACTGAAGATTGAAAATATTTACCCCCACAAGTAAGTAACACAAACATGGTGATGGGAATTTGAAGGTCCTGTGTATGCTATACGTGCACCCAAAGGTCTTATGTTATGGTTGTTACAAGTAAAAGAAACACCTGTTGTGATGCAACCAAACACTATCTTCATTGTCTTGTAGATAAAGTGCCTTTGGGGGAATATACAAACTGTTACATCGCTACAGCGAGAGAAATTTTTCAATTTGGTCTTGGGTTTAATTTCATAAGCATATTATATCTCTGGTTATGCTTCAGGCCATGTTATATATATTAGTGGCGATACCAAGTATTTGCGATACTGTATCCTGCTCCACCAGATTTGGCGTCCTGAACGTATCAATATTCATATTTGACTACATATATCGCCATCGTGTTTAGTGATAAGTATCCCATGCAGCAAGATTTATAGTTTTCCTTGTGTTTGTAATGTGGGAGAGCGATGTAGTGGTATTCTATAATCTTGAAGGGTACGTTTTACCCAATTTCACATCAAATGTCAAAAGAACATAATGGATATAATATACATATTCCTTGTGAGGTTCATCACGTTGATGCCAATCTAACTAGAGTGTGTTGCTGAAAGTGACAATCTAAAAGTGCTGACAATATGGGCGAGTAGGGTTAGTGCTGGGATTGGACTGTTTATGACAATGATAGGGTACTCCATCTACATGAACAGTAGTGCTGTTGAGTGAGTGAGTATAGTTTTATGCTTTCTGGAAGACCACCAAGGCTTTACAAATAGCGCAAACCGAGCTCGGGGCCATGGCGAGTGCACAATCGAGAAGATGATTTGAGAGATGTACTGCACTCGCTCAAGAAGCATCGAACGGACTGCATGTATTGGACACGATGAATGATAATCCCTTAGAAGAACCCCAGCTTCAATTTACACTTCGGAAACTGTGAGGGCTGGACAAGGCCATGCAAACCATGCGTGGATCGATCGTCAATAACCTAGCCAAACTGGACGCAATCGACGAGCATATTGGTCATGAAAACAAACAAACTCAATGAAGCGGAGGACGAGTTCAGCCGCCATCGCATCGCAGAAAGATTACGCGACTTGGAAGACGAAAGATCGTCCCGATTAGAATTGGCTTCCACCAATAGAGAACCACTTCAATCCCATATTAGTCGCATTCGCAAAACCATCAACCGAGTCCTCAATAAAGACCCCAAGTTAGCCGAAAGGCTTAAGACATTATTTAGAGAACAGGGGATCACCATTGCTAGCATTTTGACCGCACTCGGGCTGATCGTATCGACTTTAGCCGTCACTCTGACCGATGGTGGTACCACTCTGAGCCCAACACCTAGCCTGACACCCGCCAAGCAACAAGAAAGGTGTGAAAGAATGGATTACAAAAAAACATTTAAAATCCCTGGGGCAAGCCCTCGCGAAATTGGCGGGGAAAGCCACAGAAGCCCTCCCATGTATCCTCGGTAGTATCATCTCCAAGTTATTAGGTCTCTTATCTAAACAGCAATGTGGCAGAGTCAAAACTCATGGGTGCTCATCGTCGCCGTGGCCAGTCTGCTGTTCGTCGGCACTAAGGACTTTTTAGCCATATACAACACAACCCGACTGTTATCCCACCGACCACCGAATCGAATTGCACAAAAAATACCACAGAGCTGTCAATGCTATCAACGGTGTGGACACAGTGCTTGTAACAGCCAGCATGGGGCTCGGTGTGGCTGGGGTCAGTTTATTGCCCATGATCAGCGCCACACTGATGGTGCTGGCTATGGAAATAGCACCTGGGACCTGAGGATTAGCGGGAATAGCTTTTGTATGTGTTTCATACCGATTGCAAAGGCAGATATTATAACACAACAGCATTTGTATTCTGGCCGAATCAATATTGAATATGATCGAGGATCATATCTCGACAGCGATCTCTGATAGTAAAATCTCCAAAGAAGAGTTTCGTTTGGTGATGTAGGAACTCACCAAATACCACAAGATAAAAGTAGAAATTCATACTAACACTCGTAAAACCATGGACGTTCTGCGCAGAAGAGAAAAAAGTCAAAGAGAACAGTGGAAACAACAAGCCCTTCAAGCCTTCCTCATCAAACCAAAGACATCATAAAAGAACAACACTGAATTGCTTTCTTGGTTCGTAATTTGTTTGTCTCTCAACATGATTCAAACATGCAAACGCAGTTTTCTGACAAAAAAAAAGTTTTGTAAAAGTTTTGTTAGCCAGCCTGACTCGAACTCTAACACACAGTACCCATTGTCCAGCACTTTATCATCACACTGTCAAGACTGCTGTGAGTGACATGGTGAATTTAAGCTATTTCTTGCTTCATATATGCCACTTACATTTGTTGCTTCGTTTATGACTGACTGACTGACTGAGTTAAGTTTTACGCCGCTTTTAGCAATATTCCAGCAATATCACGGCGGGGGACACCAGAAATGAGCTTAACACATTGTGCCCATGTGGGGAATCGAGCCCGGGTCTTCGGTGTGTCGAGCCAATGCTTTAACCACTAGGCTACCCCACCGCCCCTCGTTTATGAAAACACTAGATACACAATAATGGAATGTATGAAGGAGAAAGAATGACTGGAAAATATATTCATTCTATAGATGAACAGATTCATACGAGATGTCATAAGGGAAGTTCCAAAAATTCAACATAGAAATGGAGGCAAACTGTTTTGATTGGCTTACCAGATGTAGCAGCCGTTCTTGGTGGAGCAGGTCTCCTTACAGGGGCGGTTGTTGCAGCATTGGTGGTGGTAGCAGGACATCTGGGAATGTCACATCTCTCCCATCTGGTCTTGCCACTAGCAACGTAACACCATGCAAAACCCTCAGGTTTCAAGTTACCTCCCGAAGGATCACGGCAGTAGTTGGAAGCACCTGCATAGCCAGGACTGGCGTCTCCGTTGGTGACGGAGAAGTAGCTGTCGATGTAGCCATGTTTGTTTGGAGACTGTGATGACCACTTCTGACAGGCGTGGTTGTTTATGGTGACGGACGTTGTACCACTGTAGACGGCATTACCACCGACCATTGTGTAACAATCATTTGCTGTAAATTATAGTTATTTCTTAAAGAGTGCATCAAAACAGTACAAAATTGTCATATTCGGTGTCCACGTCCTAAGAGCATAGATTCTGGGAATGAAACAAAATCAAATCATTCAAAACGCTGTGTTTTCTTGGTTTCTGACTTGTCAAATGCATTCTCCAGAAATAGCTATACGGTTCATATATCACGAAAGAAGTGACTTGCTTCGGGCGACAGATATTTGTTCATAGTTGGGGTTTATAATTACGGGCATATTATAACAGGATCTTTTCACAAATAGTCAATGAAGCATTTGTGGAACAATCGGTTGCAGCTGAAATTCACTTAAACTTCAATTATCTATAAGTTGGTAGTAGATTTCAAACACATATTCTCATTTTTGTAACTGAAGATTGAAAATATTTACCCCTCCACAAGTAACACAAATATGGTGATGGGAATTTGAAGGTCCTGTGTATGCTATACGTGCACCCAGAGGTCTTATGTTATGGTTGTTACAAGTAAAAGAAACACCTGTTGTGATGCAACCAAAGACTATCTTCATTGTCTTGTAGATAAAGTGCCTTTGGGGGAATATACAAACTGTTACATCGCTACAGCGAGAGAAATTTTTCAATTTGGTCTTGGGTTTAATTTCATAAGCATATTATATCTCTGGTTATGCTTCAGACCATGTTATATATATTAGTGGCGATACCAAGTATTTGCGATACTGTATCCTGCTCCACCAGATTTGGCGTCCTGAACGTATCAATATTCATATTTGACTACATATATCGCCATCGTGTTTAGTGATAAGTATCCCATGCAGCAAGATTTATAGTTTTCCTTGTGTTTGTAATGTGGGAGAGCGATGTAGTGGTATTCTATAATCTTGAAGGGTACGTTTTACCCAATTTCACATCAAATGTCAAAAGAACATAATGGATATAATATACATATTCCTTGTGAGGTTCATCACGTTGATGCCAATCTAACTAGAGTGTGTTGCTGAAAGTGACAATCTAAAAGTGCTGACAATATGGGCGAGTAGGGTTAGTGCTGGGATTGGACTGTTTATGACAATGATAGGGTACTCCATCTACATGAACATGTTACTCGCGTTTGCTGTTGAGTGAGTGAGTATAGTTTTATGCTTTCTGGAAGACCACCAAGGCTTTACAAATAGCGCAAACCGAGCTCGGGGCCATGGCGAGTGCACTCAATCGAGAAGATGATTTGAGAGATGTACTGCACTCGCTCAAGAAGCATCGAACGGACTGCATGTATTGGACACGATGAATGATAATCCCTTAGAAGAACCCCAGCTTCAATTTACACTTCGGAAACTGTGAGGGCTGGACAAGGCCATGCAAACCATGCGTGGATCGATCGTCAATAACCTAGCCAAACTGGACGCAATCGACGAGCATATTGGTCATGAAAACAAACAAACTCAATGAAGCGGAGGACGAGTTCAGCCGCCATCGCATCGCAGAAAGATTACGCGACTTGGAAGACGAAAGATCGTCCCGATTAGAATTGGCTTCCACCAATAGAGAACCACTTCAATCCCATATTAGTCGCATTCGCAAAACCATCAACCGAGTCCTCAATAAAGACCCCAAGTTAGCCGAAAGGCTTAAGACATTATTTAGAGAACAGGGGATCACCATTGCTAGCATTTTGACCGCACTCGGGCTGATCGTATCGACTTTAGCCGTCACTCTGACCGATGGTGGTACCACTCTGAGCCCAACACCTAGCCTGACACCCGCCAAGCAACAAGAAAGGTGTGAAAGAATGGATTACAAAAAAACATTTAAAATCCCTGGGGCAAGCCCTCGCGAAATTGGCGGGGAAAGCCGCAGAAGCCCTCCCATGTATCCTCGGTAGTATCATCTCCAAGTTATTAGGTCTCTTATCTAAACAGCAATGTGGCAGAGTCAAAACTCATGGGTGCTCATCGTCGCCGTGGCCAGTCTGCTGTTCGTCGGCACTAAGGACTTTTTTTAGCCATATACAACACAACCCGACTGTTATCCCACCGACCACCGAATCGAATTGCACAAAAAATACCACAGAGCTGTCAATGCTATCAACGGTGTGGACACAGTGCTTGTAACAGCCAGCATGGGGCTCGGTGTGGCTGGGGTCAGTTTATTGCCCATGATCAGCGCCACACTGATGGTGCTGGCTATGGAAATAGCACCTGGGACCTGAGGATTAGCGGGAATAGCTTTTGTATGTGTTTCATACCGATTGCAAAGGCAGATATTATAACACAACAGCATTTGTATTCTGGCCGAATCAATATTGAATATGATCGAGGATCATATCTCGACAGCGATCTCTGATAGTAAAATCTCCAAAGAAGAGTTTCGTTTGGTGATGTAGGAACTCACCAAATACCACAAGATAAAAGTAGAAATTCATACTAACACTCGTAAAACCATGGACGTTCTGCGCAGAAGAGAAAAAAAGTCAAAGAGAACAGTGGAAACAACAAGCCCTTCAAGCCTTCCTCATCAAACCAAAGACATCATAAAAGAACAACACTGAATTGCTTTCTTGGTTCGTAATTTGTTTGTCTCTCAACATGATTCAAACATGCAAACGCAGTTTTCTGACAAAAAAAAAGTTTTGTAAAAGTTTTGTTAGCCAGCCTGACTCGAACTCTAACACACAGTACCCATTGTCCAGCACTTTATCATCACACTGTCAAGACTGCTGTGAGTGACATGGTGAATTTAAGCTATTTCTTGCTTCATATATGCCACTTACATTTGTTGCTTCGTTTATGACTGACTGACTGACTGAGTTAAGTTTTACGCCGCTTTTAGCAATATTCCAGCAATATCACGGCGGGGGACACCAGAAATGAGCTTAACACATTGTGCCCATGTGGGGAATCGAAACCGGGTCTTCGGTGTGTCGAGCCAATGCTTTAACCACTAGGCTACCCCACCGCCCCTCGTTTATGAAAACACTAGATACACAATAATGGAATGTATGAAGGAGAAAGAATGACTGGAAAATATATTCATTCTATAGATGAACAGATTCATACGAGATGTCATAAGGGAAGTTCCAAAAATTCAACATAGAAATGGAGGCAAACTGTTTTGATTGGCTTACCAGATGTAGCAGCCGTTCTTGGTGGAGCAGGTCTCCTTACAGGGGCGGTTGTTGCAGCATTGGTGGTGGTAGCAGGACATCTGGGAATGTCACATCTCTCCCATCTGGTCTTGCCACTAGCAACGTAACACCATGCAAAACCCTCAGGTTTCAAGTTACCTCCCGAAGGATCACGGCAGTAGTTGGAAGCACCTGCATAGCCAGGACTGGCGTCTCCGTTGGTGACGGAGAAGTAGCTGTCGATGTAGCCATGTTTGTTTGGAGACTGTGATGACCACTTCTGACAGGCGTGGTTGTTTATGGTGACGGACGTTGTACCACTGTAGACGGCATTACCACCGACCATTGTGTAACAATCATTTGCTGTAAATTATAGTTATTTCTTAAAGAGTGCATCAAAACAGTACAAAATTGTCATATTCGGTGTCCACGTCCTAAGAGCATAGATTCTGGGAATGAAACAAAAATCAAATCATTCAAAACGCTGTGTTTTCTTGGTTTCTGACTTGTCAAATGCATTCTCCAGAAATAGCTATACGGTTCATATATCACGAAAGAAGTGACTTGCTTCGGGCGACAGATATTTGTTCATAGTTGGGGTTTATAATTACGGGCATATTATAACAGGATCTTTTCACAAATAGTCAATGAAGCATTTGTGGAACAATTGGTTGCAGCTGAAATTCACTTAAAATTCAATTATCTATAAGTTGGTAGTAGATTTCAAACACATATTCTCATTTTGTAACTGAAGATTGAAAATATTTACCCCTCCACAAGTAACACAAATATGGTGATGGGAATTTGAAGGTCCTGTGTATGCTATACGTGCACCCAGAGGTCTTATGTTATGGTTGTTACAAGTAAAAGAAACACCTGTTGTGATGCAACCAAACACTATCTTCATTGTCTTGTAGATAAAGTGCCTTTGGGGGAATATACAAACTGTTACATCGCTACAGCGAGAGAAATTTTTCAATTTGGTCTTGGGTTTAATTTCATAAGCATATTATATCTCTGGTTATGCTTCAGACCATGTTATATATATTAGTGGCGATACCAAGTATTTGCGATACTGTATCCTGCTCCACCAGATTTGGCGTCCTGAACGTATCAATATTCATATTTGACTACATATATCGCCATCGTGTTTAGTGATAAGTATCCCATGCAGCAAGATTTATAGTTTTCCTTGTGTTTGTAATGTGGGAGAGCGATGTAGTGGTATTCTATAATCTTGAAGGGTAGATGCGTTTACCCAATTTCACATCAAATGTCAAAAGAACATAATGGATATAATATACATATTCCTTGTGAGGTTCATCACGTTGATGCCAATCTAACTAGAGTGTGTTGCTGAAAGTGACAATCTAAAAGTGCTGACAATATGGGCGAGTAGGGTTAGTGCTGGGATTGGACTGTTTATGACAATGATAGGGTACTCCATCTACATGAACATGTTACTCGCGTTTGCTGTTGAGTGAGTGAGTATAGTTTTATGCTTTCTGGAAGACCACCAAGGCTTTACAAATAGCGCAAACCGAGCTCGGGGCCATGGCGAGTGCACTCAATCGAGAAGATGATTTGAGAGATGTACTGCACTCGCTCAAGAAGCATTGAACGGACTGCATGTATTGGACACGATGAATTATAATCCCTTAGAAGAACCCCAGCTTCAATTTACACTTCGGAAACTGTGAGGGCTGGACAAGGCCATGCAAACCATGCGTGGATCGATCGTCAATAACCTAGCCAAACTGGACGCAATCGACGAGCATATTGGTCATGAAAACAAACAAACTCAATGAAGCGGAGGACGAGTTCAGCCGCCATCGCATCGCAGAAAGATTACGCGACTTGGAAGACGAAAGATCGTCCCGATTAGAATTGGCTTCCACCAATAGAGAACCACTTCAATCCCATATTAGTCGCATTCGCAAAACCATCAACCGAGTCCTCAATAAAGACCCCAAGTTAGCCGAAAGGCTTAAGACATTATTTAGAGAACAGGGGATCACCATTGCCAGCATTTTGACCGCACTCGGGCTGATCGTATCGACTTTAGCCGTCACTCTGACCGATGGTGGTACCACTCTGAGCCCAACACCTAGCCTGACACCCGCCAAGCAACAAGAAAGGTGTGAAAGAATGGATTACAAAAAACATTTAAAATCCCTGGGGCAAGCCCTCGCGAAATTGGCGGGGAAAGCCGCAGAAGCCCTCCCATGTATCCTCGGTAGTATCATCTCCAAGTTATTAGGTCTCTTATCTAAACAGCAATGTGGCAGAGTCAAAACTCATGGGTGCTCATCGTCGCCGTGGCCAGTCTGCTGTTCGTCGGCACTAAGGACTTTTTAGCCATATACAACTCAACCCGACTGTTATCCCACGGACCACCAAATCGAATTGCACAAAAAAATACCACAGAGCTGTCAATGCTATCAACGGTGTGGACACAGTGCTTGTAACAGCCAGCATGGGGCTCGGTGTGGCTGGGGTCAGTTTATTGCCCATGATCAGCGCCACACTGATGGTGCTGGCTATGGAAATAGCACCTGGGACCTGAGGATTAGCGGGAATAGCTTTCGTGTATGTGTTTCATACCGATTGCAAAGGCAGATATTATAACACAACAGCATTTGCATTCTGGCCGAATCAATATTGAATATGATCGAGGATCATATCTCGACAGCGATCTCTGATAGTAAAATCTCCAAAGAAGAGTTTCGTTTGGTGATGTAGGAACTCACCAAATACCACAAGATAAAAGTAGAAATTCATACTAACACTCGTAAAACCATGGACGTTCTGCGCAGAAGAGAAAAAAAGTCAAAGAGAACAGTGGAAACAACAAGCCCTTCAAGCCTTCCTCATCAAACCAAAGACATCATAAAAGAACAACACTGAATTGCTTTCTTGGTTCGTAATTTGTTTGTCTCTCAACATGATTCAAACATGCAAACGCAGTTTTCTGACAAAAAAAAAGTTTTGTAAAAGTTTTGTTAGCCAGCCTGACTCGAACTCTAACACACAGTACCCATTGTCCAGCACTTTATCATCACACTGTCAAGACTGCTGTGAGTGACATGGTGAATTTAAGCTATTTCTTGCTTCATATATGCCACTTACATCTGTTGCTTCGTTTATGACTGACTGACTGACTGAGTTAAGTTTTACGCCGCTTTTAGCAATATTCCAGCAATATCACGGCGGGGGACACCAGAAATGAGCTTAACACATTGTGCCCATGTGGGGAATCGAAACCGGGTCTTCGGTGTGTCGAGCCAATGCTTTAACCACTAGGCTACCCCACCGCCCCTCGTTTATGAAAACACTAGATACACAATAATGGAATGTATGAAGGAGAAAGAATGACTGGAAAATATATTCATTCTATAGATGAACAGATTCATACGAGATGTCATAAGGGAAGTTCCAAAATTCAACATAGAAATGGAGGCAAACTGTTTTGATTGGCTTACCAGATGTAGCAGCCGTTCTTGGTGGAGCAGGTCTCCTTACAGGGGCGGTTGTTGCAGCATTGGTGGTGGTAGCAGGACATCTGGGAATGTCACATCTCTCCCATCTGGTCTTGCCACTAGCAACGTAACACCATGCAAAACCCTCAGGTTTCAAGTTTACCTCCCGAAGGATCACGGCAGTAGTTGGAAGCACCTGCATAGCCAGGACTGGCGTCTCCGTTGGTGACGGAGAAGTAGCTGTCGATGTAGCCATGTTTGTTTGGAGACTGTGATGACCACTTCTGACAGGCGTGGTTGTTTATGGTGACGGACGTTGTACCACTGTAGACGGCATTACCACCGACCATTGTGTAACAATCATTTGCTGTAAATTATAGTTATTTCTTAAAGAGTGCATCAAAACAGTACAAAATTGTCATATTCGGTGTCCACGTCCTAAGAGCATAGATTCTGGGAATGAAACAAAATCAAATCATTCAAAACGCTGTGTTTTCTTGGTTTCTGACTTGTTAAATGCATTCTCCAGAAATAGCTATACGGTTCATATATCACGAAAGAAGTGACTTGCTTCGGGCGACAGATATTTGTTCATAGTTGGGGTTTATAATTACGGGCATATTATAACAGGATCTTTTCACAAATAGTCAATGAAGCATTTGTGGAACAATTGGTTGCAGCTGAAATTCACTTAAAATTCAATTATCTATAAGTTGGTAGTAGATTTCAAACACATATTCTCATTTTGTAACTGAAGATTGAAAATATTTACCCCTCCACAAGTAACACAAATATGGTGATGGGAATTTGAAGGTCCTGTGTATGCTATACGTGCACCCAGAGGTCTTATGTTATGGTTGTTACAAGTAAAAGAAACACCTGTTGTGATGCAACCAAAGACTATCTTCATTGTCTTGTAGATAAAGTGCCTTTGGGGGAATATACAAACTGTTACATCGCTACAGCGAGAGAAATTTTTCAATTTGGTCTTGGGTTTAATTTCATAAGCATATTATATCTCTGGTTATGCTTCAGACCATGTTATATATATTAGTGGCGATACCAAGTATTTGCGTTACTGTATCCTGCTCCACCAGATTTGGCGTCCTGAACGTATCAATATTCATATTTGACTACATATATCGCCATCGTGTTTAGTGATAAGTATCCCATGCAGCAAGATTTATAGTTTTCCTTGTGTTTGTAATGTGGGAGAGCGATGTAGTGGTATTCTATAATCTTGAAGGGTACGTTTTACCCAATTTCACATCAAATGTCAAAAGAACATAATGGATATAATATACATATTCCTTGTGAGGTTCATCACGTTGATGCCAATCTAACTAGAGTGTGTTGCTGAAAGTGACAATCTAAAAGTGCTGACAATATGGGCGAGTAGGGTTAGTGCTGGGATTGGACTGTTTATGACAATGATAGGGTACTCCATCTACATGAACATGTTACTCGCGTTTGCTGTTGAGTGAGTGAGTATAGTTTTATGCTTTCTGGAAGACCACCAAGGCTTTACAAATAGCGCAAACCGAGCTCGGGGCCATGGCGAGTGCACTCAATCGAGAAGATGATTTGAGAGATGTACTGCACTCGCTCAAGAAGCATTGAACGGACTGCATGTATTGGACACGATGAATTATAATCCCTTAGAAGAACCCCAGCTTCAATTTACACTTCGAAACTGTGAGGGCTGGACAAGGCCATGCAAACCATGCGTGGATCGATCGTCAATAACCTAGCCAAACTGGACGCAATCGACGAGCATATTGGTCATGAAAACAAACAAACTCAATGAAGCGGAGGACGAGTTCAGCCGCCATCGCATCGCAGAAAGATTACGCTGACTTGAAGACGA